GGACGAATTGGATAAATGAATAATCGATTAAGTTAGAATTAATGATCGATCAATTAGTACGAAACTCTTCTCTTGTGGTGCCTTTCCGTCGCACTTCTTCCGGTCGTTCAATTTCTTCGGACTATCAAGGGGCGTCCATATAGACGCGACAGCTCGGAGCGGAGGACGCGACACTTTTGTTTCTCGATACTCGTCCTCGAGGGGTCTTGGGCGAACTCTAGGGATTTTTTTTTTCTGTAAGTTTTGCTCATGTGAAAAATGTGAAAAGTGAAATCTTCAACTCCGTGTCCCTCCCCTCCGTTACCTCCTTGTTGTGTCACGTGGGGAGGTACCCACTCCTCGCCCCCCCCCATAGATCCCCTTCACTTTCCGCCCTTTAGACTCATGTAAACATAATTCATGAAAAAGTTTGACTCCTTCACGTTATTTTCACATTTGCAAAAGTCACATAACGGAATCCCCCTCAAGGTCCAGGTTCGCCAGACTTACTGGCTGCGAGTTTCGACCCTTATCTCTATGGCGACAAGCGTAAAAGTCCCTAGGATGCCCGCAATCCTATTTCTCGGCTCGTTCGCTTCCGATGGCTGATGCGTGTGGGAGACACGTGGAAAAGACAAATACGAGTGAAACGAATGAGAGTGAGAGAGATAGAGAGAGGCGAGAGAGAAATCGCGTGTCGTCAGTGAGTCGCGTAGACCTTCGTACTTTTATAAGTTTTCTACTCTTCGACTTTAGCTAGAGACTCTAGGCCTTTTAGGCGATATTAATGGAATTAAGAGAAATTTCATGCGGCGACAGACAACCGTATCGCGACGCCAGGTCACGAAGCCCGGCGTATTTTTCTAACGTGGAACAAACCTGCTCCATCTTCCATATGTACCTTAATTTTAACCCTCTTCCTTGCTCCCCCCCCTCGATTCGTCCAATCCCCTAGGGAATTCCACCCTCTTGCACTTTTCGTCACTTCCTGTCATCAGCGTACTTTCTCTCAACAGCCTTTAAATAACCTTGATCCATTTTTATCCTCGTATCCACCCCACCGTCACCACCCCTCCCTCCCCCTCGTTCTGCTTGGTGCCAAAGAAGTCCAAAGTGCTCTAGAAAGCGGCACAGAGGGTGGGCCGTAACGGCGCTTGAAACCTCCCTTTCGCGTTAAGGGTGGCTTCCCTGAGGAACGACGATTGTCATAAGGATGTTCACATTGGGTTGTTTTTACGAATACCGTTTCTTAGGGAGAGCAAGTGTTGACTACCTTATTAAGAGAGACGAAACTCGTACTTATAGAAGTAATGATAAGCGATCGTTAAGGGTTTAATCGGTTAAGCATCTGTTTTGTAAATATTTCAGGCGAGATTTAAAAGCGTGTGATATGTATGAGTTGTACGAGTGCGAGAGAGAAAGACGGAAGGGACGACGCGAAAGATAAAAGAAAAGGGGGAGAGTCCAGTGTAGGAAAAATTGTTTGCGAAAATAAGTCAAAATGGCCTCGAAGAAGTAAACGGGCTTGCAGAACGAGTTCGGCCGAGCATTCATGTTGGCGCGATTATTAAAAGCCAAATTGAATCGATCGGCTTATCAGTTTGTACTCGTACTGTGTCTCCCTTAAGATAAAGGTTCCATTCGACATTGATTGCTCGTTTTTTACTGGCAGTTTTTCCTAGCCCATCCGCACTTGAACTGCACGTTATCTCTGTATAGAGTGCGTTTAAATAAAATTGCGCAAATAAGCCCAATCTGCTGAATATCTATTGATATCGAAAGGAGCATTTATCACGCAATAAATACAATAAGTTGTGCAGTGTTATTTGAGAGGTTAAAAAGATAAAAATATTATCGAAACAATAAGTCGACGACACGATTCACGTGTACTTGGTGCATTGAGATACGACATATACAGACCATTCGCAGGAGAGACATGCCAGTCGGTATTGGGACTTATGACGTAATACACAGACAAGGTGTCAAGGAATTGGAATAAATGTTACGAAATAATACACTTGGTGATTCTTCAATTGTTTTCGTAAGGTTACATTGATTGGATTCTTTTTTCAAATTACTTATCTTTGTGTAATCATGTTTGTTCCGATGGTAGACTGTCTTTTTTATTTATCCTGCTTCATTGTGAGTAACAGAAAGTTTAATCGTAGTCGAGCAGCATTTTAATCCGATTCAGTTGTTCAATGAAAATAGTTGTAAACTTTTTTTACACCTCCCTACGGCTGGTCAGCAGATATCGTCGATCGATACGACGTATCGTCACGTGCGTAAGCATCAGTATAAAAAAATTCGTATGGCCTGACTGCTCTGTGAGTAGAATAGCGAGTGGAGACGGGATAACATCTAGAAAAAAGGCCATCGATATCACTTTTTATCAGTATTATAGCTGATGTCTATCGGATTTCCTTTTCATTCTTTCCTGTAGGATTTCTTATATCTGGATTTTCTATTGGTATCGTCAGTCGGCCATTTTGACTGGCCCTTCGGGTCACTGATCCGCTTTCAGTTGATGGAAAATATTTTGCAAAGTTCATTCACGATAACCTCACTGCTTCTCGTTTATCTATTGTTTTGATATCATTCTTTATTATTTGGGTTAATGAGTGTTCATAATATTACGTATACCGAAATATGTGTCGGGCCTGACGTTATTCATTAGACCCCTTTGCATGCGACGCATGCGCAGTACGAACTGTCGTAACGGCTTTCCTGCTCGCGGAACGTCAACACACAGTGCGCTCTTCATTCCGCTATGTATTAGACAACAGATTACGTCAATCTGAATCGGTTTACTATCTTAGTCGGTGCATTTCTTGTTTAATATAACTGTGAAGTTGATTCAGTTTCCATTGTTAATTATTAAATGGAAAAGATCACACGTAGATATATGGCCAGCTGTAAGAATATGGACTACTCCAGGTTCACTACGAAATCTTCGCAAAGACGAAAGCCCAACTTAATCAGGGAAATGAGTAAGCAAGTGAAGTTTTTATGGATATGGATATTCTGAATTTTCCTTTCTCTTGAAGTAAAGGACAGTTCGAGATGTCGATGATTATTCTCTGGATATACTGAACTTATCTAGCCAAGGCCCGTATCAACAGACCCGATTCAGTCTTCTTAGCTGGTGGATTGCCAAACACGGAAACATTTCCTTTCGCTAATATTACTGTTACGTACAAGGATGGTCAACGATATTCTCTTGCTGGTCAGAACCTTGACACAGCTTTACAATATGGAGCTTCTCAAGGGTGAGTGTTTTGGTTGGGATATTTTTGTAGCTTGATAATAATTTTGAATTTTTGTCGCCGCTATCTTTTCCGTCAGGTATCCTCCGCTTTTGCAGAAGATGAGAGAGTTTCAGATAAAATGGCACAATCCACCAAGGAATGATTGGGACTTGGCCTTGACTACTGGATCACAGGATGCATGTTGCAAGGCATTTGACCTTCTTCTCGAGGAAGGTGATCCTGTGATGGTTCAGAGGCCGACTTACGCTGGAATCATTGGAGCGGTGAGTGTTTATAAAAAAATTATGGATTCTTACATTTCGAATATTTTTCAACCATTTTTCGTTTACTTTTTGCAAAATTTTGTTAACTTATCGACTAACGAGCTGAACTTTCCCAGGAGTTTAAGAAAGTTTAGCTCGTGGAGACGATCGACATAAGAAAGATTCATTGAGGATCGTTAAGCAAGTGTCGTAAAGAGACAAGAGAACGACCTGGTGCATGGATGTCGAAGAGAGAAACATATAGAAACTCTTGAATCTTGGAATGCTGAAAACGTGAAAGTCCAAAAGCGAGACGCCCTTACGGGATTAACAGTTGGGAGTTTTCATGACCGCGATAAAACGCGCAATTTACTTTAGGCAAGGAAGTTTATTCGATTGACGACCAAGCAGGTATAACTCTGCATACGGAAAGCACCTTTCGGACGAAATTGCTGAGAAACAGATGCCGTTTAATACACAACTGTAGTAATTATGGCATCATTAAAGCTTCAGTCTTTGAATGGGATATTATTTTCCGTAGATGGCGCCACTAGATAATAACGTATCATACCTCACCGTTACGTCAAACTATTTATTTTTTTGCTTCTCGTTGCTAAAAATATTTTCATATTAATTGTCGCAATTTTTTCATGGTCATTTTAATGATTTTCAACGTCATTTCACATTGTATAAGACCAGTAGTACTCGTAGTAGTCGCTTGTTCTCTCTCAGTTCTGTTTGTTCTTGACCTAGTCCTTGATTTTCCTTTCAGCTGAATCCTTTGGGAGTCGAAGTCGTCAGGATTGACGATGATGCTGATGGTATTATACCAGAGGGGATTGAAACGATACTGGAGAACCGTCGTCGGGACGGCCTAGTGCTTCCCAAGGTAAACATTTATCTGTCTTTATGAAATCGTATCTTTGGTTTTAAAGTAAGAGACAAGGATTCTTTTTTATCTCAGGTGCTCTATGTCAATCCCACTGGTGCGAATCCTACAGGGACTGTACTCTCCGAGGATCGTAGAAAAAGGATCTACGAGTTGGCGCAACGTTATGATTTCCTTATACTCGAAGACGATGCCTATTTCTTTCTTCACTTCCTGGAGAAGCCACCGACATCCTTCTTCTCTTTGGATACCGACGGACGTGTCATAAGATTCGACTCGTTCAGTAAGATAATAAGCGCAGGACTTCGTGTTGGGGTTATCACAGCTCCTCAGCTTCTTTTACAGAAGATTGTACTCCACATTGAAAATTCTACTCTTCACACTTCGTCCCTCTCTCAGGTTTTGCTTTACAAGCTCTTCGAGAGCTGGAAGCAAGAACAATTTGAAGAGCACTTTCAATACATTCAACAATTTTATAAGAAGAAACGTGACATAATGCTGGCTGCTGTAGAGAAACATTTCACAGGTAATTAATTGGAGCGTCTATGTTCGTTGAAGCTACTAGCTTATTCATTATCTACCAACGTCATTAAGAACATTATGACTCCCCTTTCTTTCTAGGTCTGGCAGAGTGGAACGTGCCAAACGGTGGCATGTTCGTCTGGATAAAGATCTTAGGGGTGGAGGACGTCTTCGATCTCGTGATGAAGAAACTTATCCCTAATGGCGTTTTTGCTCTACCGGGAAACGCATTCAATTTCGATATATCGGTATCTGATCAGCATTTACGACTTTGTTATAGCTATGCGACGCCGGATGAAATCGACAAGGTTCGTTTTAATGCGTAGTGAAATATTACATTCTGATATTCATTTTATGCTTTGCAGGGTCTGAGCATCATTGCCAAGCTCATTCGAGAAGAAACTAATAAGAAAGAGAAGAGCGACTGCGTGTGATTATTTCTTTTATTCATGCCTTTATTTTCATTTTAATCTTTCTATATAATGTATTTATAATTGTTGTTTTAATCCTATTAACAGATGACGAATAGACCTACTTCTTTAACCCGGATAAACTGGTAGGCATTTTTCAGCTAACAATATGTCGTCTTAATGCAACAAATTTAGACTTAGAGATAAGTAAAATTGGAAAGTTTGGTATTTTGCTGGAAACAAATTTCTTTGAGAGGATCGGAAGGTTTGCGAATAACGTAAAATACATTCTCCGATATTATATTTGTATTGTCAGATAAATTACAGATACTGCAGGCAAGAAAACTTTATCATGGAAGACAATTGCGTGCATTTTGCACCCTCAACCGCTTAACCCGATCCCTTACATTTTTTCTCTGTCAGCTGTAATATTTGTAATAATCGTTCACTATATATCTTTCCCTTGAGACTTTTTGCCTCTTATCCTCAGTCCCCTTCCCGACATCTATTCCTATACTTTTTACCTTTTACCGCCACTTTCTATATTATAATAGAATAATTAGTTTGTATACGGCAATACGCGTAGTGCAACAGTAACCGTCAAGTCATCGCGTAAATGGACAGTACACAAGGAATATAGCATATCGGAGACAAGGATTATTTGGTCAGTTACTTTTGATTTTCTATTTCTTTCCTATTCGTCGTACAAGTCCGTTTAAGCAGCAATCTTGAGGTTTTCACGAATAACTGATGGGAGTGTAAGATGGGATGAGGGATAAAAATAAAATGTTTCAAACTTGCTGTTTTAGGTACAAAAATGAATAATTTTCCATTTTTCTTTTACGAGCTTGTTAGTGACAATAAATTCAACCGATTTGAACACAAATTATCGTCTTGCTACCATATATTTTTCATCAATATAGCTTCATCAAATCATGAGTTATTCCATGATCTTTTGTAAAATTATTTATTTTTCTATTGTATGTAACTTGAAGACTGATTAGCCAAAGATAATACTTGTAGATCTTCAAGGGATACGCATGTACTTAATTTCACCATTCATTGTCGTATTATTTGGTAGACGGCACCATCTTTCTGTGGATTCGTAACTTGGATGTTTCAGTCGGTAAGTCAATGTACGAATTCCGCCGCATCCAGGCTCTTGCGATTCCGAACCTAGTCAAATGTGCCCGCTGTCTATTTATCCTTAGTTATTAAAGTTAGTGACTGCAGCTAAAATCATTTTCTAATTAATTTTCAGCTGTAATGTCTAATTTTTTTTTCTATACTGGCTTGTTTATTATCTGAAGAGTAAATCAAACTGGTAATGCATCTCATGTTGAACATACATAAAAGTATTCTTTGATACATTTGTCAAAATTCATTTGTATCTACTGAATTTAACATTAGGTTAGTCTGTGTCAGCTGTTTCAGGAGGTTAGTACAGACGGTACAGACCTTTGAAATTGGTGTTCAGAGTTTGCTGACTTGTCAACTGGGTCTGTATTTATCTACTACTTTATTCCTATTCGAAAGACATCTGTATCTAGTCTATAACTACTCGGCATTTTTTCAATATTATAATGATGAATTAGAAGGAATTTAAAAAGCTTTAAAAATTGTTGGGGAATTCTTTGTTATATGATTCTTTATACAAAGGTCAACAACCGTCGGTTATTGACCTTTGACTGAAAAGGTGCCATCAATATTTCAAGACTTATAGTAATTGGGCCTCATTGTATAAAATGTCAGATGTGAGAAATTGTATTCTCAATTTCCATTTCAGCATACGTTAATAGTTTCATCTTTTTGGAAAAATACTTTTCTTTGTCTTATAAGATACACTTAAAGGATATACAGCTGTATCTGTAGTAAACGTTTATAAGTTTTGAAATGTGACTGAAGATATTTTATAGCTGTATAATTATATATCGGTGTCTGGTTTCTTTGTGTTGCAATACAGAGATAAACGGTCGTTGCTACTTTTTAATCTGTGCTTTGTGGTAAAGCCATTTACTAACATCCATATATTCGTTGTAGGTAGAACCACTAGTATATGTTTTGTTTCTGAGTTATAAGAGTGTTGATGAGCATCTTCTTAAGTTTGATAGATAAATACTTATTTTTATTCTCTTATTACAGAACATAATTAACTAAAATGCGTCTAGTTATCTGTGATACAGTGGATTATGTTTCGGAGTGGTCAGCCAAATATGTTCTTAAGAGAATCAAGGACTTTCAACCTAATGAGAATAAGTACTTTGTTTTAGGACTTCCTACCGGTACGTGGTTTAATATCTTTTATCTACTTTAAAATGTTTATTGATTTGCATACCTAATATTGATTGCTTTGATTGACAGGAGGTACTCCACTTGGGATGTATAAAAAACTCATAGAATATCATAAGGCTGGGAAAATTTCTTTTAAATATATAAAAACATTTAATATGGATGAATACGTTGACTTACCGAGAGATCATCCAGAATCTTATCACTATTATATGTATAATAATTTCTTTAAGCATATAGACATAGATCCAAAGAATGTTCATATTTTGGATGGTAATGCACCAGATCTCATGCAAGAATGTAATGAATTTGAGAGAAAAATTAAAGAAGCTGGTGGAATTGAATTATTTATCGGAGGTAAAGTAAAATTTCATTATACCAAAAGAAAAAAATATTCATGAAGATTCTAACGATACTTTTTGCAAATTAGGTATCGGACCTGATGGACACATAGCCTTCAATGAACCTGGGTCCTCTCTGGCCTCTCGTACAAGGGTGAAAACCTTAGCTCAGGATACCCTGGAAGCTAATGCACGGTTCTTTGGAAATGACATAAATAAGGTCCCTAAACAAGCATTGACTGTTGGCGTTGGTACTGTGATGGATGCGAAAGAAGTGATGATCTTGATCACAGGATCACACAAGGCTTTCGCACTATACAAAGCTATTGAAGAAGGAGTCAATCATATGTGGACTGTATCTGCTTTTCAGCAGCATCCACGCACACTGATCATCTGTGACGAAGATGCTACTCTTGAATTACGTGTGAAGACAGTCAAATACTTCAAGGTACATTAGCATCCGTTTTTTAAATTTGTAAAATCCCAATCATTCTTCTAGTTGAAAAACCTACTTTACATGACCAATTTTTTCATTTTCGCTAACCCCACAATAACAACGCTTTAGTAAATCATGAAAGCTGTATTAAATTCTTAATTTTATTATCATTAGCTAAAAACTGTTTTCAATTTTCAAGATTTTCTATTATATGATTGGTATTGTATATTTTACCTGCATACTGTCCAGGCCCTCAGCGCGGTTCATCACAAATTGATTGAGGAAGATGGAGATGCGATCCCTCGTCGTCCTTTACACGACGTTCAGAATGGTAGTTATCCATGTCTTACCTCATTGCGTGTATAACGATATGACAAACTATTGCTTTTATTCGATCCGCAAAGTTATGATAAAAGATATAAAATAAAGCGAAACGCTTGATAAATTTAATCTGTTGCTTATCTCAAATAAATATGTTCTATGGCAGATTTCTTAATATTTACAGCTTTAATAATTAAAAACTCGGCACTATCTTAATCACATTAAATGCTTATGATATAGCTATATTTTTTGCTGTTTATACGCTAGTTCGTTTTTTTACCTAACACTAGTTGACGAACCTAATCTATGCCTGATTGTTAAGATTACATGCCCAATTAGAATAAGTTTATTCCTGAAACATTAAAATAATCTATTCATGTTTTTTTAATTACAGAATCTATGGGGAATTCACAGTAAACTCGTAGAAGAGGCTTCGGTCTTGCCTGCCTAACTCCAACTATCACTGTTCGGCACAGAATATATATTACACATGAAAATTGAAGACTGATGAATTCAACAGTATCTGGACTAATGGTAGCGTCAATGGAATCATCCACTTGGTATGTAATAAATGAATAATATACGATAAATGGTGATTGATACGAAGCAGCATATACATTACTATTCTATTATAATTGTGCTAAGTACTATAAATAATATTTGTTACATGATTATCATTAAGAGAAGCAAAGAGATAATAGTTGCATTCGATTTATGGCAAATGGCCATTGATTTTCTTTGTTCTTTTAATACTCTAAGGAAAGTAGTTACATTGTAACTAATATGCCACAATATTTTGATATTTCATTGTATTTTGAATAAATGTATTATTCTTGAGCATGAGTTTGGTCGTCGTGTTCAGGTATGTCCTGGAGAATATCATAAATTATATAATCATCACAGGACCTTGTAAACATTACATCTCCCACATCTACTTAGAAGAATTAGTCTATTAAGGTTGTTGGGTCGACAGGCATGACGGGGATAAGGTGAATTATTTAATCATAGTAAACGATATTCAGTTTAAAAGGATATTAAAAACGTTATGAAATCTAATCCCGTGTGCCACGTGGAGAAATAATTTTGAATGTGCCTTAGAGTTGTTAGGGATAGTGATATTGATAACTAGAAGAGATATTTTTATACCGTGACACTTAGATAACAATCCAATGATATTTTTAAACTACAACGATACATTATCAACCAAGATTATATTAAGTAAACAGATAAAATAGAAAGTTTCAAAAATTCTTCTGCTTCTCTTATTAAAGTAGACAATTACTGGTCATTCACTCAATTATATTATTAATAATTGGGCACGGCACATGCTAGGTAATGTAATAATTAAGGTTGAGGGAATAACTAAGATTTCATTTTTGAAATCTGCATGGATTCATAGTCTAAAATTTCTGCTTGCAGTGGCTCCGATCGGAGTCGATAATGTTAATAATAGCGCTAAGATAAATAGTTGAGTACCGCTGTCAAATAAGATTACTGAAAATGCATAATAGATCAACTGATCTAATTGTCACATCAGTTTAGTACTGCCGCTAATTTCAGAGTGTGAAGAGGTATTCTCTGCCATAGTCAAATAATTTTGGTAGCGTGGCGATTATATAGAAGAATATAAAAATCGTGAGAGAATTACCGTTATAGTCATGTAGAAAGTCTACCTGTCGACTAGTGAGATATATTTAAAATTATGCTTCGCGATTTGCAAGATCTGTTACGAAAGAAACTTGGTGACGGACTTGTCGTCGATGACTTCAAAACGGAGAAACTTTTACCCCCGGGTGAGAATTACGCGAGTACAATTATTAAAGTGGACGCTGTTGTCAGGAGGAATGAAAAGGCGGACAAAGAGGTTTTGCACGCCATAGCAAAGATGGCACCACCATCTGTTTACGGGAGGGAAATGTATCAAAGTCCATTGACTTTTCGAAAAGAAATTGGCGTGTACGAACATATTTTAGAAGCGTACAAGCAACTGGAATTGGAATCCGGATTTAAGGAAGATGAAACCTTTGATATTGGTCCTAAGTATTATGGTTCTAGACTGTCATTGGATCCTAATGCTGAATTCGATGACGACGCTGCGATACTATTGGAGAATTTGATGGTTCGCGGTTATTCCTGTGGCGTGCGGTCGGTAGGGTACGATTTGGATAAAACGAAATTAATACTAAATAAATAATAAAATAATAAAATTAATAATAAAGTCTTTGGCGAGATTTCACGCGCTTGGAATCGCCTTGAAATGGAAGAAACCCGAAGAGTTTGAGAAATTAAAGATTTTCATGAAACCCGTGGATTTAAAGTTGGATGGATCGATGATGAACAGTTTAAAATATATGGTGGAGAAGATAGCCACTGATTCTGTAATTGGAAAATATGCCTCGAAGATTTATGCTCTTAATTTTGAAGATTTATTTGATACTCTCATGGCGGAACCTGAAGAACCATGGGGCACCATAGTACATTATGACTTTTGGGTTAACAATGTGATGCTTCATGTGGATGAGAATAGTAAACCGGATGACGTCAAATTTGTGGACTTTCAAATGTATATGTATCTAAGTCCGATGCGCGATTTGATATTCTTTTTGTTTACAAGTCTTGACGGCGACGCGCGAAAAGATATCGATGAACTTATAGACTTTTACTATGAAAGTTTTCTGGCTGTTTTGGCTAGAATGGAATGTGACGTGACAAAGTTTCCGCGGGAAGTCTTAGATAAACATCTTATAGAGGACGCACGATTAGAATTATTGCATTGTCTGATCATGATGAAAATTTTGACGCTGGATGTTGACGGCGAAGATAAGACGAATCCGTCAGGAATCCTTGAGTACGGAGGAAATGAGCTGTATGTGATACGCTTGCGTGAAATAATGTTATATTACGTTGAGAAAGGATGGTTGTGACGTGGGTAGAACATAATGTTTACAAGAGCGACTATTTTCGTGTAGATGGAATACAGGCGTAACAGTGTAGTTGCATGTGGAATTATAATTTAGAAGTAATTTATAATTTAGCTTGTCTTTTAACAATAATACCTCAAGCACAATTGTTTTGTTATAATCATTTGAATTAAGAAACAAGTACACTGACGTATTCCGTGCAAATGTTTCACGTACTGCATTGTAATTCAGAGAAGGCACAGTAATTTCATTATAAAAAATTCTATTATAATTTAGAAGTCGTAAATACGCACAGGAATAATTTTAGATTTCAATTCTGCCAAGTCATTCAATTATTTCAATAAATCAGTCAAATCCCGACGAATAACGGTTCTCCAAAAAATCTATCGAGATAATTAGAATGTGAAATGTGCGAGAAATTAATGAAAAACTTGTTGGAAGGAATGAACACGGATCCTGCGATAGGAAAAAGTACGCCTCGAAGTTTGCTTACATTCACTTCAATGAATATCGGACTCTTGGTTAGTCACGCGTGAAGAACCGTGAGGCACCGTAATATATTTTGACTTTTCAGTAAATAATATGATGCTTCATGCAGATGATGCTTCATTCAAATATACATGTATCAAAGTCCCTTGCGAGATTTAATATTCTTTTTGTCCACGTCTTAATGACGACGCGCGAAAAAATATCGATGAACTTATAGACTTTTGCTATGAAAGTTTTGTCGATGCAAAGTTAGAAATATTGCACTGTATATTCATGCTAAATATTATAACCATTAACATTGAAATTGATGGTGTTGATAAGACCATCAAGTATCAAAAGTAATGAAATGTTTATGAGACGCTTGCGTGAAATATTTTTGTATTTTATCAGTAAAGAATGGCTCTAGCGATTATAACAGGGCAATATAGATAATTATAGCAAAATAAAATTTTAGAGCGTATTTAAACATGTCTAAATATAAATGAAGCGATAAAAATAATTTTTTTTTAAGTTAGACGCTTCGGAAGGAAAGAAGTCGCGAAGTACAACCGAAAGGTCAGGGAATCACCTGTGTCTTTTGATTAAAACTAGAAAATAATTTGAACCGACTCCCTGCTTAAAAAATGCGATAGAAAACGATTTAAAAAAAATCCTATCTAATCCAATCGTGTTTTTGGTTCGTAAAATTTAGATTCGTTGTCTAATATTTCCTATAAAATTTCTATCGTTTTATATGAAAAGAAGCAGATCAATTGTTTATCGTTTTTAATAGGTTTATTATTGCATATTATATAGGATGACTTCATGCATGACACGACAAATCGATCGCTAGTTAATTGTATTAAGAATGCATTGTACATAAATTCTCAACCAAAAGATTGATTTCGTTGAGTGTCTTGCGATAAGGGAAAAATTTGACAAAATTCAGTGTCTTGGGGATACAGAATACTTTTTTTTTATCGGAAAAATTAGAGACTTCATTTCACATGAAAGTTTTCTATCGAATATGTAAAATAATTTTTTCAATTCATTTGTTAGTAACTTTTTGGCATTATTATTAAAAATAAACATTCTTCCTATCTTCCAAGACGTCGACTTTTTTCAGAGTTTTATTCTCGTCTCGAAGCACTCAAATTCCAATCAAATCAGATTATTGGTGGGAAACGTACATGCAATGCATCCTTAAATTCATTATTATTTCTGGGAAAACCATTTGTTATTAAGCCATGTAAGAAGGTTATCGTTTATTTCATATTCTTCCCTAATAAGTTGGTGGCGATAGAAAACGATTCGATTCCTATCACGCATTTTCATATTAATAAATATAAGAATATGATTCATATAGAATCATATAGCATCATATACGTAATAGAACGTGAATTTCATATTACCATAGATATACGTATTGCTTATATGAAAATACATATAGGTATAGATTAAATTTCTATCGTATTATTACGATAAAGCAACAACCTCATAGGTTCAGATTACATTATATAGAAACTCTATCATCACTTCAACTTGATGTAGATAGGACTGATAGAAAAGGATTGAAATGAGCAATTAGTTTTATTGTTTCTTATAGAATTCTATCGTATTTTTTAAGCAGGGGCTGCTTTGTAAAAGTGTCATATTATTATGTAGAGTGTTATTCAATGTGCCATTACGTTAGTTGATGTGCAATTAGTTTGCAAATTGTAGGTAAGAAATTTCGTACAGCCTTTACAAAAACAATGATGATGTATAATAGCATATGTTTAGATGTCGTGATTCGTACTACACGTAATATTTCTAACATTTTAAACCGAATGACTAGTTACATCAATGTAACGTGAAATTAGGATACTCCAACAGAACAGCACTTTTTGCAAGCTACTATTTAATTGGCTGAGATTTTTTCATATAGATACTTGCTATTAGCGTTTTGATACCAGTAGATCTTTAATTCTTAAAGCAAAAACGTTGGTAATCTTCTTTAATGTAGACATTGTATTTCAGAAAGTGTAAAAAGCATTTGGATATAAATATTCACTGTGAAACTTGGGTTTCAGAATTATGTGAGTAGAATATTTGTTTTCATTAATTTAGGAAAAGAAACAATTAATTACTCGATTAACATTTAAGAAATTAGATCAAAAATGTGGTTCGACCAGCAAACAGTAATCACCTTGAAGCAACCAGATGGATTATTCAAATCCGAATTTGGGGATAATATGATTTTGGAAAATTTTACCACGTCCTATCTAACGGCACCGGGTGATAATTATGGAAGTACAATGTACAAAGTGGAGGCTACAATTAAAAATAATAAATTTTCAAAATCTAAGATGATTCATGCAGTAGCAAAGATGGTACCTGCTGTCGATTTCTTGCGGAAGTGCTTCGAATCCGAGAGGACATTTCCAAAAGAGATTGCTATGTATAAGGAAGTGCTGCCTGCATATAGAATCTTGCAACAGGATGCTGGCGTACAAGAAGATGACCTCTTTGATGGGGCTCCAAAGTTTTATGGAGCTAGACTCTCGTTACTCGGAGATGAGATGGTCGACGAAGATGCGGCGATTCTTCTTGAAAATTTGTCAATAGATAATTACAAAATTGGCAACCGGATCACTGGAATGGATTTGAGACATGCTAAATTAGTCATACAAAATTTAGCCAAATTTCATGGCTTGGGTATAGCTTTAAAATTAAAGAGACCTGAATTCTTTGAGGAGATGAGGAACGTCGGTGGTTCTGAACTGATTAACACAACTTTGTTCATGTATGAAAATATTGATTCGGTATGTACAGAGTTGCTAGGTATACCAAGCGTTAAACAATATACATCTTCAGTTAGAACAACAATGGAGAAGAGTGTCAAAGAAACGTATGATTTAAATGAACCCTTTGGAACTTTTATACACGATGATTTATGGACCAATAATATAATGTTCTGTTATAATTCTATGGGAGTACCTGAGAAAGTGAAATTTGTGGACTTTCAAGTGTTCAGATATGCCAGTCCTATCAGAGATCTTGTGTTTTTTATACTCTCCAGCGTGGTTGAGGATGTTATTCAATCCCATTTTGATGAATTGATTGATTTGTATCATCAGCATTTAATAAATACCTTGGAAGAAGTCAAATGCAATATCGAAAATTATACTAGGGAAAACTTTAATTTGGAATTGAGGAAAAATGCTCCTAATAAATTAATTGATACTTTGTTTATGTTTAAAGCGATAACAAAAACCAAAAGTGAAATTCAAAATAGTGCATTAGTCAGTCCAGAGGAATTCTTAAAGCTACCAGGGAATGAAATATTTAAAAAAAAAGTAGCAAACACTGTACTGTTTTATCTTGCAAGAAAATGGATATAATATATCAATTAATTTTGTATTTATGCTCCTCGATTCCTGTTAAGTATTTTAGGGATTTATTCTGTAATAATATTATTAGCTTCTCAGGTTGGTGAAAGAAATATTGGGTGTAGCAAGTATATTTCTGTAAATCTCAATTTTTATTTTAATGACGAATTATTATGATAAAGATGGTAATAATGTCAAAGTAGATTATGTTAATTTCTGTTGTCTTTTGAAAATAATTTATTTAAAAATCCTTCGTAATTTATTATGGAACTTATGTAATTATTAAATATGTACACGTATGTCTTATGCCTTTATTTTTCATCATCATAATACTTACATATATCATGATCAAAACAGAATGTAAGGCCGATCTTATTTTCTTTTTACTTTTGGAACCTTTCTATTGCGATTCCTATTTTTCACATTTGTAACTTCATAAAAATCGCTACCGATTTTCTTGCGTTTACTAGCTCTTTCAATAGCGCGGCGCTGTTTACTGGTCAATTTTTTTTCTTTCCCATTAAGTTGTTTATGCTTTGTATTTTTTATGGCAGATACGCTAAATGTGCCACTGGTAGATATCGTTTTATGATTCTCTGTTTCACTGTCACTAGACTCATGGTGCTCATCATGAAAATCCAACGCACTCTGCATTAAATTATCTTTTTCAACTGCTTTAAAGGTCTGGTCATTATCATCAGTAGCCATACTCTCTGTTATAGAATCTTGAGCATCCTTTGCTTCGAGTTCCTTACTCGTATTATTCAAATTTGTCTGAATTTCACCTTCGTCAACTGTATCATTTAATTGTTCCTCTTCTTCGCAGTCAGTATCTGATGATATATCAGACTGAATAATGGACTCAGAAATACTGGTACTTTTATCATCAGCATTTTCACTAACACTGTTATCAGTGACTAAGTCGTTCTTCATGTCATCAGGTGAATAAGATAGGACTACTTTGATCTTTTTGAAATCCTGCACGACTGTTATGGGAGCATGTGGTTGTTTACTTTCGGAATGAGTGTCATCAGTTTTCTGATCGTTGAATTCTTTAACGTTTTCTACATTTTCTTGTGTATCGACTGTCACGTTTTCAGACTGTTTTGACAGAGGCTCTTCAAATCCAACGGGGGCTACGAAAAATGGTAATTTTCCACGCTGCCAGTCGTTAAGCACCATACGAGAAACTGCTCCTACGTCAGGTTCACCTTTTTTAAGTAACTTTCCAGTTCTTCGTGCAAGCTTTTCCAAAAAATCGATATGATCCGACCATGCGTCGATTTTATAAGTTTTACGCATGTATTCCGGTTTCACGCGTTCAAGAACAGCTGGAATATAATCCTCAGGACTTTGAACAAGCTCTACTCTCACTACTCCTTTGAGAACTTTCTCAGTATCTGTTTCAGATGACGGATAGACAACTCCTGGACAGTCTATCAAGTAAATACGACGCATAAGGGTAATGTATTGCCAAACTTTAGTTTCCCCAGCGATAGGCGCAACTTTACACACCTTTTTGGACCTCAAAGTGTTGATTATTGAACTTTTTCCTGTGTTTGGATAACCAATAAATCCTACACTAATTTGTTTCCTGTCCATATGTAATTTAGCAAACTGACGAAGAAGATTTATTAGAGAACCCTTTCCAAAAGGATGAGTCAAAGATGCATGGAAAGCGACTGTAGGATATTCAGCACTTAAAATTGCGACCCAGCGTTGTGTTACCCAAGTTGGTACCAGATCCACTTTATTCAATACGAAAATTAGATGCTTGTGGGCCTTCTCTGTCTTTAAATATTTTTCTACTGGAGGTGAACGAGTACCCATAGGATCTCTGGCGTCAAGAATTTGAAGAACAACGTCTGATGAGTCTATAACTTTGTACAGTTCATTCCAAATTCGTTTGCTCTGACCAGCAGCCATTACCCAGTCTCTTTGAGCATCCTTCATTCCAGTATCAGGGCGGATTAGATCAATGTCTTTTGTATCCTTTTCTTTGTCATAATTTTCTTCCTTCTCTTCTGCATGTTTCTGTAACTCATCGTAAGATGATATACTCAAATTTGGTTTCTTGCGTAGCTTCTTTGGACCAAACACACTTTCAAAACTTTCTGTATCTAATAAATGTACTCGAGCATTTGCTGCTTTTTGTTGTAATAATGTTACGGGTAGTTGTGTTGGCTTTATTACAACTTGGTAAGGATTTTTCATAGCAGCACCCAGTTCTGTTTGAAATTTCTGTAACGCATTTTGTGAAATGACCTTTGTATTTCCAAACCATTTCTGATTTGGTTCTACACGGGATATCGTTCCAGATGTATGCCATCCTTGAAACGGAGCAGGACTAATTATCTCTCCAACCTTATTCCGTTTTGGTTTTTGGTTGCGGTACATTTGTAATCTCTTGATGGTAGCCTTTGTACGTACTTTAGCTACTCCCTTAAGACCTTCCGTAGGTCGTTCAGGATTCATACTATGTCCTGAACGATTAAAACCCTGCTTCCGAGGAGCTTTGCTTGTGGAGTGTGACTTTGCCATTTTGTCTAAAAATATAAATAATTTATTTATAAACAGTTAACTTTGTATGACATCATTATAGTCTATTTTTTAAAATTAACATATGATTAAATAATTGTATTCTGTACACATATTAAATACATTTATTGGTGATTTAGAATCATTTCTTTACCAGTATGAAAACTGATTCTGATTTTACAAATCCTACTTACTTATTAAGAAATAATTCTCCTTGAACGAATTAATTAAATAATAGCATACGCAAACGGAGGTTAAAACCACGCTCTTGTTTCAGCCTTCCTCGCTCGCACGTGTAGAACCAACTTGACCAACTAAAGCCGTCAGCACCATGAGAGGGCAGTGGAGGGCAGTACCAAATGTGTTTCCAACATAATCAAGTTCCCTGCTTTATCGACATTTTGAAATTGGTCTAGAAGCCTATGCAGGTATTCATGTGAATTTCATAAAAATTATGCAGACATGTTGCACACATGATATCCTATGAAATTAATTGCAGATGGTCGATTACAATAGTAATATTAAGATGTGCAACGCGTTGCGCTAAGAGGTTGATCTAACTAAAAATTTTGTAAATTTCATGAAGATTTTTTGGTAAGTCATCAAACATTTAACCGTTTGTCAACTTAAGTATTAATGCAACAACAACGAACATATCGCGGGTGACGTCTATTTTTTTATTGTGTTCCAATTGACAAAAAATATTCATTAAAACAGAAAAATATTTTTGTTATTGCTATTCCAGATAACCAAGCAGATTTTCATATGCTATTCTCAATGAATCAACTGCTCTTAATTTGTTCCATTTTGCTCCGCAATTTGTTCTTTATTTTATTAAAACATCTTTAAATAACAAGTATATGATTTGCTCTTGGGTATTAAGACTTGGACATCAGAAATCCTGGCCAAGAATGTTTAGAAGTACTGAAAGTTGCCCAAAATTGTGTGCGCGCAACCTCGACGAGCAGGATTCGTGAGTGGGGTGGGAGTGGGGGAAGCGACGAAGGCAGCGCCCGGACTCCGAGCGCTCATTCTTCCTCGAGCCGGTCTCCTATACTGGTCTCTTGGAAGCACCCCTCTTATCTTTTACCAACCTTCTTCTTTTTCTATATTTATTTCTTTATCCTTCATTCTTTACTTTCTCACTTATCTCTTTCCTCGTTTCTTCTCTACTTTTAAAACTCTATTCCTTACTTTTCTACATTTTGACTTCTTTATTTCTATCTTCCTTTCTGAATTCTCGTTTCACTCTTTTCCGTCTGAGTTTCCATTGTGCTCGTCTTACTTTTCCTATATTTATTT